CTACTTCATAGTCGATATTTAAATTCCACGAATCCATATCTGGACTCTACTTCGCCCACAGTATGCATGCGATCTGCGACTATTATAGTTCATTGGCTCGAAATTTTGTTAGATAAATGTGAAAATTTTTTCGCGCTTGCTGTATCCGGGTCATTTGCAATTAGACCAGCTATGCGTGTTTTCTCTTGGCACGCGAAATACGATATGAAAAGAATTGAAACAGAAAATGGATATCAAATCATGAAATCTGAAAATTGCAAAAAAGCGGAAGAAATGGACTTGCGTCTTAGAGCAATTGAACCTCGAATTTCGAAAATTTCTCGGGGATATGATAGGGGAAGGGTTCAAGAGGATAACCACGAAGAATGTAGTCTTACTGAGTGGTTAGGAATACCTACACACCCACGTAATAGATTAAAAGATGCTGTGATGAAGGCTAGAGAATGGGAGGTTTTTGTTGCAGACGATGATAGCTCGCTGAGAAAAAAATATGGTTGGATAGCTAGGAAGCAATCAGGTGGGTTTTTGGGACCAACCAGAAGAAATTCAAACTTTAAAGGAATCAGATCATTTTCTCATTCCAAACATGATTTTTTAATTTTAAAGAGCCTGATGACCTCAATTTCACGTTTAAAACTGATAAAGACATACAGTTTTCTGCTTTTCAACAACGGACACAACCACCAGAAAAAATTTTTCTAAAGATGGAACCTGATGATTTAAATGAATCGGAACAAATTTCTCAAAGTCGAGAGCAACCTTTTAATTCATTTCTTGATTATTATTAACTGAGAATGGAGTTATCATAATATGTATGCTCTTGATTTTGGTTTAGAAATATTATTCCCTAATTGTATTATAATCTCATATAACTTATTAAAAGCATTACGTACGCACATAGAATTTGTCGTTTTAAAGTAATTTTTTTTTGGTTTTTAGAATATATACCATAATTGGGCGATAAAGTTATTCAAATTTTCATAAAATTGATCACCGGCGTTTACCTTTTGAGTTTATTGGAATACATATATTGACCAATAGGAATCGATGGTTGCGAAGGTGACCATTTTGGTACAAGGAGTCCATCCGAAACCCACAATGTCTCAGACTTCTAGAGTGTCAGCGCTGACTTCCCCAGCCGAAACACGCTTGCCGAAGCGTGTTTCGATCGTTGATAGGAATCTTAATAAAACAAAAGGCACAGAGGTAAATTGAGTGCCTCTGGAAACAGCATCTTTAGATTAGGCTTCAACTGCAATTTTCTTCAATAGGTTGGGCTAAGTGCCTTCGCATTCCTGTTTTCCGAAATGCTTCAATATGCACAAAAGCGCGTGCACGGAATTCAAGATCTTGAGCGAAAGTAAGCTTTGTGTTTGATCTTCGTCCAATTCACCAACCTTTATTAATTATTCCATAAATTTTTAGGTTAAATGATTTTGGTTATAGGGTAGGCACGCGCCTTTTAGAATTAATTGTGTGGAGAGAAAGAAATAGTAAAAGAGAGATCCGAGTTTTGGGAATATTGTACTTTATCCACACAACTGTCTGGAAAACCCTTTTTGGCAAACAAGCAGACTCTTTGGAAAAGAGCACTGAGCATGAGGACGAATGTACTATTTCCTCTTTTCTAAAACTTGTTTTTTCGAATTATCTTGCTTTAACTGATTCATTCAATAAAACAATGAAATTGCAACAGACATGATTTCGGATAACGATCCCCTGACAAGTAAGTATATTTCTGTTCCAAAGGAACTATCGCAATTGAACTGCAACGCGTTCCTTGCGGGTATTGTCGAAGCAATTTTGGATGGGGCTCAATTTGTAAGTTCCTTCTATAGACCTGACAAGTTAGTTTTTCTTGGTTAACAGAATCTCCATTTTTCTTTTTTTTTCTTTGATGTATCTTCAGCCATCTCGAGTGACTGCACATTTGGTACCACAAGAAGGGTTTCCATTACGTACCACTATATTGATTCAATTGAACAAGGAAGTCTTGCAAAGAGAAGAACAGCTCAAATAAAGAAAACTAAGTTATATTTAATCCTTAATAGCGAATTATGTTGTCTTTTTTCCCATCAACACTGACGATAGTTACGTTAGACCGAAGGCATAAATTGAACCACGCCAAAGTTTTTTTAATAAAATATCTATCGGGATCGAGAGATTTATTTTTTTTTCTTCGCGTTTAACGTAGAACGTTTTCCTTGACCTAATTTACAAGTGCATTCGTCATTAAAGTCGGAAATTATCGAACATAAATATTTCATGAGATATACGTGTGACCAGACCTTTTTTGGGTGCACCTTTTCCACGCCTTTTTAGCCTTGCAATGTCATCTAAGCGTTGCTTTTCTTGCAGGTCGACCAAGTTAAAATTGGGGAACAGCTCGGTAATTTCACGTAACTTTATTAGATGTTTGGGATACCAATTAATGATCGTGGGACCTATAAGCCGTTGGCGAAG